GGGGACCTGAGTGAGACGGGGGGCCGTATTGGCCATCAAACTACTGAACTCTGAAACACACACAAATTGAAAGCCGGCCAAAGGGCAAGACTGGAGCATGGCTCACTCAACTGAACTGAACCTTCTGGCTCCATGTAGGGACAGCAACTTCTAAACGAGCTGCGCTACTACAAGCTTCTCAAGAAGGACGGAACAAAGCTTCTGACTTACACTGGGTTGCTGCCAGATTCGAATCTTGACCAGGACGTCCCAGTAACTTGAATTATGGTATTCGTAATTTTCCTCAGTCTCTCCAGGCAAACCGGCTCAAGTAATGTTTCTGATATTTATTCGGAATGCATCCAGTTCAAATCTCGGCCATGACATCCATTATCCTGAGAGTTCTGAGTGGTTTTATTCAGTCCCTACATTCTAATTCGGAGACAGTAATGTAAATTTGGCCACGACCGCTTCCTTGCATATCCTGTGCAATTTATTGCTATCACCCAGTCATTGCACGCTAAACACTGTGAGAGGCTGGCGGCTCGGTTCAATATGGAAATGGGAGTTGCATCTGATTAATAAATTTGTGGTCATCGCTTGATATAATTGGAGTGATCAAACTCCAGGTCATGCAGCACGGACTGGGGAGATGAGAAATTTATCCGACATTTTAGCCACACGATCCTAAAATAAGAAAAAAACTGCACGGGAGACAAAGAAGTAGATAAAGGTAAATGTAAAGCTGTCCCTGTAACAGGCCGTGGAAGCCCACAGGGTTGTGAGACGTCGAGGCTCCCACATTTTCTAGACAATCGGCTCACAGATGGCGGTGAGGTTGTCAGCCTTACGCGCTGGCCGCCCTTTGCCCCAGGAAGATTCCCGGTACTCATTTCTGTTAGAGGCTGAGTCGACCCCAGGGCCATAGTGCGGCTGGAAGGATTATGTTAATATAAAAATCCAGTGGCCTCATCGGGACTCGAATCCACGACCTTCCGACTTGTACCATAGTGCCTCAACCAACTACGCTACCGGGTGCCCCAACAAGTAGATGCAAACGTAATAATACAAATTAGTGATTTTAAGTTGTTCCAGTGGACATATGTGATGACATAGTTACCAGCATGTCTCAGAATCTTACTGCCTCCTTCTTCATGGTAGAAAAGTGTTAATATATCTACCTACCTATCTTCTATCTACCAAACTACACGGTGTCGGGCGTCATAATGCGACAATGTTCATAGTCTCCACAATCTTCAGGTAGAAGAATGACGAATCATTATCCCCCAACCTGGCCCTTTCAAGGGCTAGAAATTCATTTGGCTGTTCCCCTTACTGGCCCACTTAGGGCCCTAGTGACAGCCCTGCCTCTCCCTGTATCTCACCACCATTTTCTACGCTACACTCACTCCTCTATAACGGAAATGGAGGCAACAGGTTCCTCCGAAACGTCGGTAACAATCTACCAGGGAACGTGGCATCACGCCTCAGACGACAATAATCCTGAGTCATCTCAACGAAAGAGAACGTGCCGATATGGAGTGGAAAGATCTGACTTAGCATAGGGTCGAATATCACGCCCTGAAGAACACGGCAATGAACCTTAGTGTCTATCTCGACTTGCTGGGAGACCATCAGCGTCTAAAGAGAAGGAATCTCCTCAATGCAGTTAAGTAAATTTAAACCGTGCGGGATGGTTTAAAGGGAACGCTGTAGACATGTATTCGGAACGTGATCGGTTCGAACCTTGGCCAAGGCACCCGATATATTGACTGAGGTTTTTCGTGGTTTTCATCAGTTTCCCCTGGGTGAATTCCGGTATGTTATCATAATTAAGCTAGTACCGACTCCTTCCAAATCCGTCCCAACCACCACTCATCAATCATCGCACCATCTAGTGCTATAATCTACGAACTGACAGCCCTTAAAGGCAAAGGTAAAGTTGCTTTGTGCTTAATTACTTAAGCACTATGCTGTGAAGAAGTATGGGGAAGTGGAGGTAATGTTCCACAACTCCTGATCGCAATACTAGATTAGGGTTAGTGGTCAGCTTATAGCTCCGGCCCTTGTACCCCCAGGGAAAAGTCTCCCGGCATCCATCGGCTAGGAGGTTGGGTAGGCCCCAGAGCCGATCTGAACGATGTGGAGAACAGAGAAATTTCGACCCTACCTGGACTCAATCCCAGACCGTTCAGTCCGCAGCCCGTCGCTATACAGACTGACGGAAATTTTTAAATCACTATAGAATCAGGGTATAAGTAAGTATACAGTATGAATAGGTGGCTGTAGACAGATTTTCTACCTTGAAGATGGAGGCGATAGGTTCCCCCGAAACATCGGCTCACACAAGATCTACATGGTGCGGCATCCCAGAACACGGTATTCTTCATAGGCACGGCCGTGAAAACCTCAAATCTTACTTAAAATCAATAATTTTGACGATGTCCCTTAAATCAGTTTTACCCTGAAATATCATGATATGAACACGAACTGATTTTGGAGATGGAGGGGGGGAAATTCAATTATGTCATTATGCGTGTAAAAACATATTCAGTGAATCGACATACAAAAATAAACACACGTATATTTGGCGGACGGAATAACAAATTCCCCAGCCATCGCGCTGCGCTGTGTGAATTTCCCATGCAGCGCTAAACAAAACGCATTTCAGAATTACACGCCCCAGAAAAACAATTCTGGGCTCGAACACAA